TCAGAGCCCTTTCCAATAATTTGCCCACCACTGATGTAAGACTAACTGGCCTCTAATTTCTGGGGTTAACCCTGTTCCCTTTTTTGAACAAGGGAATGACGTTTGCCTCTTTCCAATCTTCAGGCACTATACCTGTGGACAGTGAGGACGAAAAGATCAGCACCAAAGGCCCTGCGATCTCGTCCCTCACTTCCCATAGAATCCTTGGATAAATCCCATCAGGCCCGGGGATCTTATCTATCTTCAACTTCCTCAGAATTCCTAGCACATCTTCTTTACTAACATTAACCTCCTCTAGCCTACCTGCCTGTTTCACAACGTCCTCCTCTACAACTAGGTCCCCCTCAGTTGTGAATACTGAAGAAAAGTATTCATTAAGGACCTCTCCTATCTCTTTAGGCTCTGTGCACAAATTCCCTTTACAGTCCTTGATCGGCCCTACCCTTTCTCTCGTCATTCTCTTGTTCTGCACATACGTGTAAAAAGCCTTGGAGTTTTCCTTGATCCTATGCGCCAAGGTTTTCTCATGCCCCCTTATAGCTCTCCTAAGCCCTTTCTTCAGCTCCTTCCTGGCTAACTTGTATCCCTCTAGAGCCTTTTCCGTTCCTCTTTTCCTAAACCTTACATAAGTCTCCTTCTTCCTCTTAACCAGTCGTTCGACCTCTCTCGAGAACCATGGCTCCCTCACTCGACCACATCTTCTCTGCCTGCTAGGGACAAACATATCGAGCACATGCAGAATGCATTCCTTAAACAATTTACACATTTCTGTGGTGCTCTTCCCTGACAGCATCTGTTCCCAATTTATGTTACCGAGTTCTTGCCTAACTTAATTGTAATTACCCTTCCCCCAATTGTAAACTTTACCCTGCCGTAAGTACCTATCCTTATTCATGACTATCGTGAAAGAAACAGAGTTATGATCGCTACTGCCAAAATGCTCTCCTACCAACAGGTCTAACACTTGGCCCGGTTCGTTGCCAAGCACCAAATCCAAAGTGGCCTTTCCTCGTGTTGGTCTATCTACATACTGTGTCAGGAATCCTTCCTGAACGCACTGGACAAAATCTGCTCCATCTAAACTATTAGAACTAAAATGTTTCCAATCAATATTTGGAAAGTTGAAGCCACCCATGACTACAACCCTGTGACTTCTGCACCTTTCCAGTATCTGCCTCCCAATCCGCTCCTCTACTTCTCTGCAACTTTTAGGGGGTCTGTAAAAAAACCCCCAACAAAGTGACTGCTCCTTTCTTGTTCCTGACCTCAACCCAAACTGACTCTGTAGACATATCATTCTCGAACTGCCTTTCAGTAGCTGCTATACTTGCCCTGACTAGCAATGTCACTCCCCCACCTCTTTTTCCACCCTCCCTATTTCTTTTAAAGCATCTAAATCCCAGAACTTCCAACAACCATTCCTCTCCCTGAGTTACCCAAGTTTTTGTAATGGCCACAACATCGTAGTTCCAAGTACCGACCCATGCTCTAAGTTCATCCGCTTTATTTCTGATACTTCTGGCATTGAAGTATACACACCTCAAACCGTGTCCACAATTACGCTCCATCGACCGCATTTCTTTATAAATCACCTCACTCTCTGTTGTGTCTGTTGGAAGGCCGAATACCTCATCCTCTGAATTATAAATTCTGTTCCCCACCCCCTGCCAAACTAGCTTAAACCATCCCGTACAGGTCTAGCAAACCTCCCTCCCAGGATATTTGTGCCCTTCCGGTTCAGGTGCAACCCGTCCTTACTGTACAGGTCCCACCTTCCCCAGAATGTGCTCCAATTATCCACATAATGGAAGCCCTCCCTCCTACACCAGCCCTGTAGCCACGTGTTTAGCTGCACTCTCTCCCTATTTCTTAGCTCGTTATCACGTGGCACTAGTAGTAATCCAGAGATAACTACCCTGTTTGTCCTGGACTTCAGCTTCCAACCTAACTCCCTGTACTCGTTTTTCACATTCTCAGTCCTTTTTCTACCTATGTCATTGGTACCGATGTGTACCATGACTGCTGGTTGCTCACCCTCCCCTTTAAGGATCTTGAAGACACGATCCGAGACATCACGGACCCTGGCACCCGGGAGGCAACATACCATCCTTTCATCTCGTTCGCGTCCACAGAACCGCCTGTCTGTGCCTCTTACTATTGAATCCCCCACTACAATTGCTCTCCTATTCTCCCCCTTCCCTTCTGTGCCACAGGGCCAGGCTCAGTGCCAGAGACCTGTCCGCTATGGCCTTCCCCTGGTAGGTCGTCCCCCCCAACAGTATCCAAAACGGTATACTTATTATTGAGGGGAATGGCCACAGGGGATCCCTGCACTGTCTGCCTATTCCCTTTCCCCTTCCTGACAGTCACCCAGCTACCTTTTTCCTGTACCTTGGGTGTGACACCTCCCTGTAACTCCCCTCCATCACCCCCTCAGCCTCCCGAATGATCCGGAGTTCATCCAGCTCCAGCTCCAGCTCCAGTTCCCTAACGTGGTCTGAGAGGAGCTGGAGTTGGGTGCACTTCTCGCAGGTGAAGTCAGAGGGGACACCAGCAGTGACCCTTACCTCCCACATCCTGCAAGAGGAGCATGCAACTGCCCTAGCTTCCATTCCCTCTACTCTAGATTTCCAGAAGAACAACAAAACAAAAAGCCTTACCTTACCGAACCTCCACACAGTCTTTTTTGGTTAGAGGAGGAGGACGGGTGGGCGACACTACACATGTAGTGTTTCGGGTTTAGCCAATGCCCGAATTTATCTGTTTCTTCCTGGCTCGCGTTCCGTCCACACACCCGCCGCTGAAAACAAGAGGGCCGCTTGCTGCACGAGATAAGTTTTTATACAGGGAGAATACAAAAACTGCCTTATCTTCCCATTGGCACTCTGGCTCGCGCTGCTGCCGCTGAAAACAAGAGGGCCGCTTGCAATTATCCAGTAAAGAAGAGGCCCTTTGACCCATCGAGTCAACGCCAACTGAACGACTCTAAATCTACACTAGTCCCACTTCCGTGTGCTCACCCAAGTACTTTTTTTAAAGGTTATAAGGTTTCCTGCCTCAAATACCCTACCAGGCAGTGCATTCCAGATTCCCACCACTTTACGGGTGAAACCATTTTTCCTCAAATCCCCTATAAACCTCCCGCCATTCACCTTAAAATGATGCTCCCTTGTTATTGACTAAGGGTAGCAGCTGCTTCCTACCCACTCTGTCTACACCCCTCATAATCTGATACACCTCACTCAGGTCCCCTCTTGGCCTTCTCTGCTTTAAAGCAAACAACATGAGCTTATCCAGCCTCTCTTCATAGCTAAACTGCTCCAACCCAGATAACATCCTGGTGAATCATCTGTGCCCACTCCAAAGTGATCACAACTTTTTTATAGTGGTGACCAGAACTGCACACAATACTCCAGCTGTAGCCTAACCAAAGGATTTTTTGGTACAGCTGCAGCATAACCTCACTGTTCTTACAATCTATGCCATGATTGTTAAAGGCAAATGTCCTGTATGCCTTATTAACCACTCTTTTAACTGTCCTGCCACCTTCAGGGATCTGTGGACAAGCATCCCAAGCTTCTTCTGTTTCTCTGAGCTTCCTAATGCCCTGCATTCATTGAGTACTCTCTTGTCTGGTTACTCCTTCCAATGTCATATCATATACAGTTTGTTCTGACATAACATGATAGTTGCGTTCTTGCATGACCTCACGCTACAGAAAATCGCGCAATAAGTGCGACACTTAAAGTGATCGAAACGGAATCGTGTTATAGCTAACACATGGTAAGGAAAGTTTGGGTTTTACAAATAGCATTCTCCTATTCTTCAATCATGTTACAGCCAATTTGCATTGAGAAACGCACATAGTTAAATTCCATCTGCCACTGATGTGTCCATCTGACCAATCCATCTATATCTTCCTGTAATCTAAGACCTTCTTCCTCAATGTCAACCACCTGGCACCATCTTCATGTCAGCTGTAAACTCGCTTATCATCGCATGCCTCCCACCAATGTTGTCTTCTGTATTTTTCATACACATCGCAAATAGTAAGGGACCCAGTACAGATGCCTGTGGTGCACTACTGGACACCAGCCTCCAGTGACACAAACAACATTCGAGCAGCGCCTTCTGCCTCCTGTCTGACAACCAAGTTACCCTGGATCCCATGTGCTTTTACCTTCTTACCAATCTCCCATGTGTGAGTTTGTCATTTGAAAGCTAGTTGCTGGTGCACCCCAAAGTGCTGCTTTAAAGTACAGAAGTATCCTGTAAGTGGATTGGAGATACGCCACAAAGATTCTGTGTGGCTGAGAGATGTCAGACAGATGATAGATGTATGCAGCTGATACCCCTGGAACATGCCCTGGGATGTTGTTACCTAGCTTCCAAGATGGCGGTCTGGGAACAAGGGGCTAGCTGGTGTTGCCAGGTGCCCGCTCGGACTTATTGTCAGGGATTGTTGACTTCTAGTTTCCTTGTGGTGGGATAAGAAGCTTCATGTTAATGAGGCAAGATTCCCTGTAAATGAGACTGTAAACAAGGAATAATTCTCCCCTCCATAAGCATTGTGCCATCGCCTAGCGAGAATTCCCTCTCGATGCCTGGAAAATGTGGCCAGTTGGCCTTGATATCGGGAAAGGCCTTGCCGGACTTCTGACATGATTCACCCAGAATTCTTACTATAGCCCGTGTCGTTCAGGCTCCTATAAGATTCTGGCTACAGTTACCGAATTTATTTAATACAACGTTCAGTTTGTGATATGGGGTAATTTGCATAATATAACCAAATATATACTGTATAATAGTAGCTGGTATTGTTCCAGGTACAAAGCTACTGTATAATACACCTTGTTTGTTTAGGGGGAATTGTGTACTAATGTTTGTTGGTCTTGTGTGTGATTACTGTTAGTGCAATACTGCGTGTGTTTGTACTCGTGCATGTAGGTGCTGGTTAGTGCTACTGTCCCTTCAGTTTTTTTTTCTCTGTTCTTTTCCAGATAAGTTCTGGTTTTGCCGGCTGTCTCTCAATCACAAGGTGTTGCACTATGGTGATCTGGATGAGAATCCACAGGGTGAGGTGGCCTTTGAGTCACTGCAGGAGAAAAGTAAGTAGGAGGGTTAATCAGTAAATTTGCAGACAAGAAAATTGGTGGGTGGTAAATAATGAGAAGGATAACATCCGATTACAGCAGGATATAGACAGACTGATCAGCAAAAAATGGAATTCAATCCGGATAAGTGCGAGATGATGCACTTGGACAGGACAAACAAGGCAAGGGAATACATGATGAACAATAGGTTCTGGTAAGCACCAAGAATCAGAGGGACCTTGATGTGCATGCATACTAGGGACTAGTAACCCATAACCTTATGGGACGGGTGTATAAGATGGTTAAGAAGGCATATGAACACTTGCCTTTTTTAGCTGAGGCATAGAGTTTAAGAGCAGGGAAGTTATGCTGAAACTGTATAAAATGATGTTTAGTCCACTGCTAGCGTGTTGTGGGCAGTTGTGGAATCCACTTTATAAGAGGGATGAGATTGCACTGGAGAGGGTGCAGTGGAGATTTACCAGGATGTTGCCAGGCTAGAGAGTTTCAGTTATGAAGAGAGATTGGACAGACTCGGGTTATTTTTCTTGGAGCAGATCAATATTTTTGGTTACTTACTCAAAAGACTCAATCAGGTTTGTGAGATACTATTTCCCTCACACAAAACCATGCTGACTATCTCTAATCAGTTCTTGCCTCTCCGACTGCATGTAGTTCTTATCTTTCAAAATCACCTGCAATAACTTACCCACCACCAATGTCACGTTCACAGGTCTGTAGTTCCCAGACTTCTGCTTACAGCCTTTCTTAAATAAAGGCACAATAATAGCCACCCTCCAGTCCTCCGGCACCTCTCCGATGGCAGTAGATGATACAAATCTATAGGGGCCCCGTAATTTCTTCCCTAACTTCCCACAACATCCTGGGATACACTTGATTGGGTCCCAGAGATTTGTCCACCTTTACGTTCATTAAGACTTCCAGCACTTCCTCTTCTGTAATGTGAACTGTTTTCAAAACATTACTATTTATTTCCCCGAGTTCTGTATCCTCAATTTCTTCCTCCACAGTAAAAACAGACACAAAATATTCACTTAATATCTCTCCCATCTCCTGAGGTTCAACACAATGATGACCTCATTGATCTTTATGGGCCCTACTCTCTCTCTAGTTTCTCTTTTGCTTTTAATGTACTTGTAGAATCTCTTTGGATTATCCTTAACCCTATCTGCCAAGGCTATCTCACATCCTCTCTTTGATCTCCCGATTTCCCTGTTAAGAATGCCCCTACACTCTTTCTACTCTTCCAGAGATTCATTTGATCCCTATTATCTGTATCTAATATGATTGTTTCTTATTCTTGACTAGAACTTCAATATCTTTATTTATCCATTGTTCCCTACTCTTACCAGCCTTACCCTTAACTCCAACAGGAACATAATGCCTCTGAACTCTCATTTATAACACTCTTGAAAGCCTTCCACTTGTCAGTCATCCGTTTACCTCCGAACAGTCTACTCCAATCAACTTTGGAAAGTTCTTTTCTCATACCATTAACATTTTCCTTACTCCAGTTAAGAACTTTAACTTTTATGGAAGGCTTATCTTTTTCGTAACTATTTAAAACTGATAGAATTATGATCACTAGTGCCAAAGTGTTCCCCTACCATCTCTTCAATCATTTGCCCTGCCTTATTTCCCAAGGGAAGGTCAAGCTTTGCTCCTTATCTATTAGATACATTTACATATCGATAAAGAAAATTCTCTTGAACACATTTAACAAATTCCTCAGAGATAGTAGGAACTGCCGATGTTGAAGGGGATTTTCCCATTCTGTTTCCATCTCTGGCAACCACCTGGAAACTGATATCTATTTCAAACCTACCGACTCCCACAGCTACCTAGAATACACCTCCTCTCACCCCCCTTCCTGCAAAAATGCCATCCCATATTCCCAATTTCTTCGCCTCCGCCGCATCTGCTCCCAAGGTGAGGCATTCCACTCCTGGATATCCCAGATGTCCTTGTTTTTCAAGGACCGCAACTTCCCCTCCACAGTGGTCGAAAACACCCTCGACCGCATCTCTTGCGTTTCCCGCAACTCATCCCTCACATGCTCTCCCCGCAATAACAACAAAAACAGAATCCCCCTCGTCCTCACATACCACCCCACCAACCTCCGGATTCAACGCATCATCCTCCGCTACTTCTGCCACCTGCAATCCGACCCCACTACCAAGGACATTTTCCCTCCCCACTCTTATCTGCTTTCCGGAGGGACCACTCTCTCCGTGACTCCCTTTCCGCTCCACACTCCCCACTAGCCCCACCACACCCGGCACTTTTCCCTGCAACCACAGGAAGTGCTACACCTGCCCCTACACCTCCCCCCTCACCCCCATCCCAGGCCCAAAGAAAACCTTCTACATTAAACAGATGTTCACCTTCACATCTGCTAATGTGGTATACTGTATCCGCTGTTCCCGATGTGGCCTCTTCTACATCAGGGAAACCAAGCGGAGGCTTGGAGACTGCTTTGTGGAGCACCTACGCTTGGTTCGCGACAAACAACTGCACCTCCCAGTCGCGAACCACTTCAACTCCCCCTCCCACTCCTTGGACGACATGTCCATCCTGGGCCTCCTGCAGTGCCACAACGATGCCACCCGAAGGTTGCAGGAACAGCAACTCATATTTCGCTTGGGAACCCTGCAGCCCAATGGTATCAATGAGGACTTCACAAGCTTCAAAATCTCCCCTCCCCCGACCACATCCCAAAACCAGCCCAGCTCGTCCCTGCCTCCCTGACCTGTCCGTCCTTTCTCCCACCTATCCGCTCCTCCCTCAACCCCCACCTCCACCTCCTACCTACCAGCCTCGTCCCTGCCTCCTTGACCTGTCCGTCTTCTCTTGACTGACCAACCCCCACCCTAACTCCCCACCTACATTCATCTTTACTGGCTCCATCCCCGCCTCTTTGACCTGTCTGTCTCCTCTCCACCTATCTGCTCCTTTATCCATCTTCCATCCGCCTCCCCCTCTCTCCCTATTTATTTCAGAATCCCCTTCCCCTCCCCCATTTCTGAAGAAGCGTCCAGACCCGAAACATCAGCCTTCCTGCTCCTCTGATGCTGATTGGCCTGCTGTGTTCATCCAGCTCTACATAACAAATTCCTCACCATTCAAGCCTTTAACACTATGGCAGTCCCAGTCAATGTTTGGAAAATTAAAATCACTTACTATTACAACCTTGTTATTCTTACATATATCTGAGATCTATCTACATATTTGCTCCTTAATTTCCCTCTGGCTATTGGGGAGCCTATAGTACAATCCTATCAAGGTGATCATCCCTTTGTTCTCTGTTCATTCTCCCTACCTGAGCACCATCGGTTGACCTCAGTGTTAAAAATTATATTGGCTCTGCACTCACAGTCCTTTTAAGGGAGTGAAGTTCCAGATTTCTACAACCTTTTCTATAAAAGCATGCTTTCTGATTCAATTCTAAAATGACACCTGCTTGTTCTCGATACCCTCATCGAAGAAACAGTTCTGTTTGTCCACCTCTTTTGAATCCTTTCATCATTTAAATTACCTTAGTTAAACCCCTTCAAACATGTAGGGAATACAAGCCGAGTTTATGCAAACTGTCGTTGAAATTTAACCCCTTGTGCCCTGGGAAATCATTCTGCAGGATTAATTACATTCAAGCAATGAACACAATACTGCACATAGGGTCCAGCCAAAGCTCTGGTTAACTGAAACATAATTTCTTCCTCCTTGTATCCCTTGTATGAAAATAAAGGCCAATATTCCATTACTTTTATTACATTTTTAGACCCTGACCACTAGTGTTGTGTTGTTGCTCTCCTGATTCTGTTTAGAAAGTTCATATCCAGTTCAGGTATCTCGTATTGGCATTTATAAACTCTTCAGAGAGCATCACTTATATGATGATATTGATTTTATTTCTGTACAGTTCTGAGATCTCTCACCTACCTCATAAGATTATAACTGCACAAAATCAATGCAAAACATTTCATTGTATCATATGGAATTTGTCCTTAACCACATTCTGCCCAAACCACACCAATTTAATCTTACAACAGAAATGACTGAAATGTTCTCCTGTGTTTCTTTTGTCTCTTCCCCTCAACATCACAAGATAACTATTGTCATTTACACTTTGTCATTTACACTTTTAGTTTGAGAGCAGTTCATTAGCTCTCTGCTGCTTTCAAACCTACCTGCTTAGGTGCACTTGTACGTTCCTGAGACATTGTTTGAAAATGAACAGAGAGACTTGCAGGGATTCTCGAAATGCTCCAACTCAGAGTTCCTATTGTATGAATTAGAACCGTCAGGTGGTATTGATCCCAGAAACATGCAACTGAAATGCACAAATGCATTTGTATGGTTGATTGCCTCTAGATAACTTCCTCCCATGCATGCTGACTAAACTTATTGCAGACTTTACGAGGATTCTGATATACTCTTACTGCCTATTCTACGTGAATTGGATATCTTCAGTATAGTATGCATCCTCAATATGTCCTTGTGCCTGGTCATACGTCTGTTGGTGGCACTCTCACCTCTGATGGAAGGTTGTGGGTTCAAGTCTCACTCGAGATTTGAGAATGTTATTGGGTCTGATACGCCAGTCCAGTACTGAGGGAGCACTGCAGTATCAGGAGGTTCTGTCTTTTGGATGAGATGTTAAAAAGAGGCTTCTTCAATCTTTTTGATGAATACAGGTTTCTCCTGGCATTAATTCCAACCTTGCTGTATGTAAATAGGTTACTAAATTTTTTATACAACTGCAGTGAAAAGTACTTAAAAAGTACCCCATTAGATGCAAAGCACCTTGAAACATCCTGAAATTGTGAAATGTGCTGGTTGAGTGCAAGTCTTTATTTGTGCAGTTCGAGATTTGGTTTTGTATGTGGTGCAAAATAGGAACAAAAGCTTTTGATAACAGGAACAGCCCATTTCTATTCCATTCCTTCTCAGTTCTAGATGCATGTTTACACCCTTTTTCTCCTCCACATTCTCATGGTGAAGAAAACAAGTTCGTGAGTCACTCTCCTGATATAATTCATTCCTTGTGAGTCCTTTGGAATTCTTCATCTGCTGCAGTCGTCATTTACCTCTTCCTACCCTCCTACACGCTACCGGCTTTTGAAATCACAAGGTTGCTGCCATCTAGCTACATTTGCATTTTTTCTCTAGGCAGTATAATCACTGGCAAATGCGACTGGAACATCTCACTGATTCTGTCCATTCTGTTTTCTTTGGAAGTCCAGGTGATCACATTTTCCCAGGTATTTTGGAGATCTTAAAGGTGAATTCTCCCAGGACCTCCATATATTTTTAGCCCTATTCTGCTTTCACTCTGTATGGTTATCTAGCTTAAGGTGACTTAGCACTTGATTTATGATTTTCCTGCTTATAAAGGATGCAGTAAGCACCATTACTTTTTGACTGATGTAAACTTTATATCCATTTGATTCTAAAAGCCCGTTGTATTTTCGCACTCTAGATACTACATTGCAGTGTGCTGGTCACTGAAAATCTACATGTCCCTCTACAATTATCAGCACATTAAATTTACTTTGTTGATTACTGGTATGGAATATTACTTCCCACTGGTCGCTACAATGCAATGTGATATTCTGCCTTTCCCTAGAATACTACCATTCTGTTTGGAGGTTTCCAACAAAATATCTTTACATTAAGGTGTTTCACTGAATTTAGCTCACAAAGCATTGGAATTCCTACATAACCAGAAGCTAAGGAGAATGATGAATGATATAGCCTTACAGCCATGTAAAACAGTTTATGGAATGTTGCTACGATACCTCTTTGGTCTGAAGCTATCAGTCAGTAACCTGCCTCATCCAACAAGAGATTATGAATAGATTTCTTCCCTCAACTCTCAATATACTGGAGTGTCCTGTTCATTAGAGAAACATCAAGAGATCATTTCTGTGGCATAGTGATGTGGAGTCAACATTGATTTAATTGCTAGCCTTAACTGACTTACCCCTGAACAGGGAGAGGATCATAGGTAGCCAACCTACTGTCCAGCTGTGGAACAAAAGGACATGTTCAAGGCTCTGTTCTTTGAAGGTTTACGGAGTGATTTGGACACAAGACAACTCCTTCCTTAGAGCCAACCAGGTCCAGACCAAGTCTTTGGTCAGAAATGTGAATTTAGCCTGCTGACAAGGGCAGTGCAGTTATTTGTAGAGAGGGATTATACAGAACAAGAATGAAATGGGGTGGGATTTGTTACATATGTTTCTTAAGCACAGATTTAACTATTTAAAATAATGTTTTGATTTTCATTCTACTTTGTATTGTTAAATATGAATCATCTCCTTTAAGAGGATTATAGGTACTGTAGAAATCTGTGTCCATATTATATCTTGACAACATTCAGGCTTGGGCTGATTAGTGGATCATAACATTGATGCAAAGCAATGACTATCTCCAGCAAGATGGGATCTGACCATCTCCCCATGATATCCAGGGGCATTACCATCACTAAATCCTCCAGTATCAACATCCTGAACATTACCATTGATCAGAAACTGAACTGAATCAGGCATAAAAATAGTGTAGTTACAAGAGCAGGTCGGAGATGATGAATTCTGTGATGAGTAATTAACCACCTGTTTCCCAAAGCCTGTCCACCATCTACAAGGCACAAGGCAGGAGTGTGATGGAATACTCCCCACTTGTCTGGATGGGTGCAGCTCCAACAACTGTCTAGAAACTTGACACTATTTAGTAAAAAGCAGCCCATTTACCTCCTTAAACATTCACTTTCTCCAACACTGATGCAGTGTGGCAGCAGGGTGTACCATTAACACGACTCAATGTTGCAACTCACCAAGGCTCTTTCAACAACACCAAACCCATGACGTTTACCACCCAGAACAGGGGTGGGGAACCTTTCTCCCCTTGGAGGCCAGTGACATTTGGACAAAATCAATGATGGGCTGCACACTGGATAAAGCAGCTTTATTTACTAAGAGGGGTAACTGAAATGTTCAACTTATTTGTCGTTTTAATGTGTAGCTAAGGTTATTCTGCTTTCCTATGTCTGCTGGTAATGAAGATGTTGCTACTGTCAACTGTTGTTCCAAATTATTGTGGGTTAATCTGGAATGCAAATTTTACTTGATGGTGTGTAGTACCAAACAGCAATGCATTTCTCAGCGTGTCTCTCCTCATGTTTGGAAAATCAGTGGCACCTATTTAGAATTCACCAGAGGTAGGTTTACTGTATTTGATCTTCAGGTCAATGCTGACATGTAGTTCTACGAATTCGTGTTAAAGGTGTTTTAAGTACATCAGCAGCTTCAATATTGAACAGTGTAGCAAACATATTTAATTTCCCGATACAGACCTGTGCTGGTGTTTCTCTTTGGTGCCTCACATACCTATCAGTGGATCTGAGGCTTTCAGGTTGTTCTCCTCTGATGTGTTTCTCTGGCAGTGATTTTCCTCATGATGTGCAGTGCTGGTGGGATTCAGGGTGTCATTTGGCCCAGGATCTTGTCAAGGACCAGCAAGCCAGATTCAGTGTAACAATGGCTGGAGGTTGGAGATTGCCCACCCCTGACCTAGAAGGTCTAGGGCATCATTCTGACTCAGAACTGTAAAGCCATTTCCTTGCTTTTGCTGGAAAAGAATCATGGAACTCCTTTCCTAACGGCACTCTGGGTGTAGCTACAGTTCAAGGAGACAGCACACCACTAACATATAGGACATTTAGGAATGGGCAGCAGAAGTTGTCCAAGCTAGCAAATCCTGCATCATGTTATATTATTTAAAAAGAAACCCACTTTAAAGAACCAAAATATTTTCATTGTTAAGATGCCAACTTGTGCTATCATGTGATGACAATGTAACTATTGATTTTAAATGATACAAGATCTAACTACAATAAAGACAACTAACGTTGAATTCTAACATCTAGAGCAAGCTTAACGTTTGTAATATTTAAAATAATTCTGTTGTTTACCAGTACACACACACACACACACACACACACACACACACACACACTTGTTAATGATCATTATTCGTATGCTTCTCTTTATTTTAGTTCCCGTTGTAGATATCAAAGCTGTGGTAACAGGGAAAGACTGCCCCCACATGAGAGAAAAGAGTGCCCTGAAACAAAACAAGGTACAGCTTAATTCTTTGTGTGTGTTTATGCATGTGTTATATGGATAGATAGGAACATACCATTATTAGACAGAAGGAATGAAGAAGGTTCATCTGATCAACCCAAAGTCTCATGAATTTTTGACTAATGGGAACAATTGGTCTCAAATAAAACTCGGATAGAAAGCAAAGACTATCCAACTTGTGGAGAGCTTTGACTAAGTTGCCTGTTCTTTCTGATCATGCTGTACATGGGTCACTTTTCAAATTAGACATGCTGTATCCTAAAATGTTTATTTTCTGAATAAAATGTCTGTCAGGTGTGGCACAGTGAGTAGCCTTCTTGCCTCTGAATCACAAGTTTGTGATTTGAAATTCCAGAGCAGAGGCTGAAAACATACAATATAGGCTGGCAATCCAAAACTGTATTGTAAGAGCGCTTCACTGTCTGAGGAGTCATTAAACCAAGGCCCTATCTGCTTTCTGAAGTGGATGTAAAAGATCCTGTGACATTATTTTAGTGAAGAGAAGGGGTGTTATCCCTTGTATTCAGCCAATATTTATCTCTTAATCAACATTACAAAGATAAATTATCTGGTCATTATCACATTATTGTTTGTGTGAAGATAGTAAGAACTGCCGATGCTGGAGTCTGAGATAATACAGCATGGAGCTGGAGGAACACCTCAGGCCAGGCAACATCAGACAAGCAGGAAAACTGATGTTTCGGGTCGAGACCCTTCTTCAGAAATGGGGGAGGGGAAGGGGGCTATGAAATAAATGAGGGGGTGGGGGGCGATGATAGCAGGTAGATTGTGGAGCGGATAGGGTGGGAGAGAAGACAGACAGGCCAGTGAGGCGGGGATGAGAGGTAGGGGGGGCTGGTCTTGGGATGAGGTCGGGGGTGGGGAGATTTTGAAGCTACTAAAGTCCACATTGAGACCATTGGGTTGTCGGCTTCCAAGGCGGAATATGAAGTGCTGTTCCTCCAGTTTCCATGTGGCATCGTTGTGACACTGGAGGAGGTCCAGGATGGATATGTCGTCCAGGGTGCGGGAGGGGAGTTGAAGTGGTTCGTGACTGGGAGGTGTTGTCATTTGTCACGAACCAAGTGTAGGTGCTCCACAAAGCGGTCTCCGAGTTTGTGTGACCTTGCTGTATACACATTTGTTGATGTGTAATCACACTTCAAATTGTACCTTATTGGCTGTAAAGCACTTTGGGATGCCTTGAGGTCATGAAAGGTGTTGTAAACATAGGAAGTGCTACCTTTCTATCCAACTGCAGGAAGTGCTACACCTGTCCCTACACCTCCCACCTCACCTCCATTCAAGGCCCATCAGTCAGCTTGGTCTACTGTATCCGTTGCTCCCGATGTGGCCTCCTCTACATTGGTGAGACCAAGTGTAGACTTGGAAACTGTTTCATAGGGCATCTGCACTCTCTGTACGCAACAAACGACAACACCTTCCGGTCGCCAACTATTTTAACACCCCCTCCCACTCCCTGGGTGACACATCTATCCTGGACTTCCTCCAGTGTCACAATGACGCCACCCACAAACTGGAGGAGCGACACCTCATATTCCGCCTTGGGAGCCTACAGCCCGATGGCCTAAACATGGAATTCACCAG